ACGCGCCCGGGTGCATCCGTGACGTCGGCGCTGGTCTCGAGCGCGCCCGTGACGTAGACGCCCCACTCGGGCGCCTGCTGATGCCGCCTTGCGCTGCCGTGCGGTTGCGCGTCCGGCGTGGTTGGACCCGCCGTGCCGTTTTCTCCCCCCCCCTCGTCCTGCACTAGTGGGAGGTGACGGGGTTGCTCCACCCCATCACAGGATAGTTTCTGTTTAGTCATTGATTTATAACTGCAAAATTGGATATACAGTTGGTTGCATTTAACCAAGAGGAATCAACTGGAACAAGCTGTTTTCTCCTCTCCCTCATTTCTTTCAAAGAAAGCAGTGTTGTCCTTAAATATGGCTGCTTTGTAACCCAGGCTGGATATGGGAGCTACTACTGTTTCAGTTCAGCAGACAGATGACCATCATGCCTTGGCCACCTACATGCATGTTTGTGGCTAGGTGCTTCCAGTACCATCCTCTACCTGCATCTGACGTCACTTACCCATCGCTGTAAGACTTTCATTAATAAGAGGTAAATCTTTAGTGTCAAGAGAGAAACCTTCACATATGAATGGATTCAAGTTAGGCTGGCACATGAGTTCCAACACTCTTTTCATACTGACCATCATACACAGGCACAGGAACTGTGACATGTGCATTGAAGGGAGAGAGCACAGGTCTGAGGTCAGAATTGCCTTCTTCTAGGTACTGTTGGTCCATGGTGCCTTATTCCATATTATTCAGTGCAACTGCTCGAGATCAGTCTTCCCCAATCCGCTCCCCTGAAGATGTGCCTCAACACCATAGTACCCCAGAATGAAATGCTCCATATGCTTGATGCAAGGAGAGCCTTGGCTTTCTATTTGGATAGGACATGAGCCTTCAGAAAATCTTAGAGACTGTTTCATTTCTGTTGCAGATCAATTAAAAGTTACAGCAATGTCATCTCAGTGGGTATCTGGCTGTTAAAGTCTGTTACCAATTGTGTAGCATAACACCCTATCTTTCATATGCATGCACTCTATAAGATCAGTCTCTTTGTCAGCTGCCTTCTCCAAGGGGTATCCCTGGCATTGAAGATCTGCATAGCAGCTACGTGGGCATCTGCACACACTTTTGCAGAACACTGCCGTCCTGGAGAGTTCAGCTACAGACGCTAAACTCAGTGCCTAATCGTCCATATTAAATTTTACTCCAAAGTATCAGCCTCCAGTGTTGAGCACTGGTCAGGAGTCCCTTAAAGTTCTCAGATCAGCAGCTTGGGGACACAGACAACCTATGTGGAGAACCCATAGAGATACACATCTCAGAACCATCATTATAGCATAAGATAACACCTTTTCACAGTGGACAGAGGTGCATAGCCTGGTCCTCCCAAGATCTGTACTAAGGCCAATGATGGTTAGCATATGTATGAATGATCTGGAAAAAGGGGTAAACAGTGAGATGGCAAAGTTTTCAGATAATGCAAAATTACTAAGTTAAAGTAGCTGGCAAAAAGTAAGAGAGAGCTCTCTCAAAACTGGGTGGCTGGGCAACAAAATGCCAGATGAAATTCAGTGTTGATAAATGTAAGGTAATGCACTTTGGACAATATAATCCTAACTGCTTTGGGGGTAGCCGAGTTAGTCTGTACAGGATAAACTTAAACAACAAATAGAATGGTAGCCCTTTATAGACTAACGAAATGTGTAGATGATGATATGAGCTTTCGTGGGCACAGCCCACTGTACGTATAAAAAGATGGGATCTGAATTAGCTGTTACATCTCAGAAGGGGATTTTGGATTCATTGTGGATACTTATTTGAAAACAGCCACTCAATTTGCAGTCAAAAAAGCTAACAATGTCAGGAACCATAAAGAAAAGGATAGCTAATAAGACAGAAGGTATTGTATTGCTACTGTATAAATCCATACTGAATATCTATCTTGAATATTAAGTGCAATGTTAATGCTTATAAAGCAGTGTTGAGTGTTCACTTCATCTAAAAAAAGGATATATTAGAATTGGAAAAAGTAGAGGAGAGAAACAAAAATGATTAGGTTATGGAACATCTTCCTGTATACAAAGCGAGAATGTTCGATTTGGAAAAGAGACAAATAGGGACAATGTGATAGAAGTATATATAATCATGAATGGTGCGTAGAAAGTGAATAGGGAATAGTTACTGACCCCCTCACATAACACAAGTACTAGAGGTCACCCAGTGAATTTAACAGGCAAGTATATTTAAAATAAACATAAGGAAGTACTTCTTTATACAACACAATAATCAACCTGTGAAACATATCGCCAGAGGATGTGAATGCCAAATGTAAAAGTAGGTTCAAAAGAGAATTAGATGAGGTCATGGAGAATGGATCCATCAAAGATAATTTGTTAAAATAACCAGAAATGCAACCCTATGCTTCACATGTCCCTGAACCTCTGACTGCTATAAACTGAGACTGGATAACAGTGATTGGATCACTTGATAAATTGTTCTGTTCACTCTCTCTGAAGGATCAGATACCAATCACTGTTGAAAGACAGGATACTAGACTAGACGGACCATTGGTCTGTGCCAGTGTGGTCATTCTTATGTTCATGCTCCCAGGATAGAACCTTCAAATTCTTAACCACAAAAATATGGTGATTTAAAAAATACTTAGTGCCAATTCTCAAGGAAATTTGTATACTTTCCTTTTTCAAATGTTTTGTTAGTGCCATGCAAACATTCTTCTTGGCCAATCGGTTTGTATAAAATCTTTTTAAAATTGTAAAATTCACTCGTCTAAGTGGCTTCCAAATTTAATGCCAATTTTGAATTGAAACATTTATAGCCCTGGATAGTCAATTAATATCCAGACTTTGAAATCATAGAGATAACATGCAGTAGTGTTGCTGCACCACTAGGAAGATTGCAAGCTTAATTGGTGTCAATTAACCAGTTTCTGTTGTGGATTGCAGACATTTGAATGGCAGTATTAGCTTCTGTAAAAGTGAAACATCCTACATGTTTTTGTGGCTTAGAGATTACAAGAACAGATTAGGTAGCAGTACTCACAGGATACGTAAAGGAACAGCTTGTGACACCATGAAAGTTGGAAACTAACTTTTAGTGACAGCTCTAAGTTTCTCTTGTGATTACTTGATTTCAGGAGAAAGAAAAGCATGGTATTGCAAGAACTGGGAACACTATCTGTTTTGGTCTCAAATTTACTGGCAAAACTAACAGCTATGTCTTGTTCACAGTGAGAACTTGATACATTTTAAAAAACAATAACAAACGTGTACACACATACACACACACACACACACACACACAAAACTGGGAAGAGAAAGATTTGTCCCACTATTTTCTATGCGAAGTAGTTACATATGCAACTGACTGATATTTTACAATGTGTTTTGCAGTGGAATTCTCTGCATAGTCATATTAAATTTTAGTAGCAATGGATTTTTCAAACAAGTTTGGAAAGATCTTTTTCTCTTAGTCACATTACAAAACTGGGGGATCAACAGTAAAACTGGGCGTATCCTTACTGTGGAGAGGTGTATAGAATCAAGGGAAAGAACAGGAAGGTCAGTCCCAGGCTCATAAAAACTGCACTTTGGAAATATCTCCCAACGGAATCTAGTAATTGATTCTAGATAATTGGGTATTCCTTCAAAATCTCATTGGGAGAGAATAGGTTCTTAGACTCTGTCCTGTACTTCCATATAGGTGGGAGAAATTGTATGGGTCAGCCCTTCTGTCTAATCAGTCCTTTCTAAACAGGTTTTTCAATGTGTGGTTTTCATTAGTTGTGCTTTCTCAGAGATTCCTCATTTTTGTGCCCTGTCAAGTCTTTGAATTTTAGAGAAGGAGCAGAAACTATTCTAAAAGACAGGATGTCTTCTTTATATTTTCCCCACTTGCAAATTTAGTAAGGATTTTCCCCAGAAACCATATAGAAAATTCAGCTGTCCAATAGAAAGTTGTTGAGCCAAATTTGGAGACTAATTTCAGTTCAAAGATGAAAGTCAGGGTATCAGTTCTGAAAATTTAAATGCACCCTGAACTCTGGAGTTGTTCCCACTTGTGGAGGGGTGTGGCACTGGGGCGACCCCCTCTGGGCCTTGCCGGGCCGCTGTCCCGCCCTTCCTTCGTCCCTCACCCGGGGTCTCCGTCCTAGGTGCTCCCTACACCCTGGTGTCCTGCCCCAAGTCCGGCAGGGTCGGTCCACAATTAGGGTTGACTTACTGGTGTCTGCGCCGGTGGAGGAGGGTAGGGGGGCTCGGGCCCGCCCTCACTCGAGCCCCGACCCAGGGCCCTAAGGTCTGGGGGATGCTACCCCCAGTCCTGGTTGATGGGGGAGTGGGTCCCCTTAACACACCAACCCCCCGGGTTCCGGTACCCTGCCCTGGGTCACTTCCTACCTCCCTCATTGCGTCGCCATGGCAGCTGGGTCTCTCGAGTCTCTGTAGCCGGGGCCCGAGATGCCTCCACCGAGCCGCCCTCCGTCCGGCGGCTCTTCTCCCTCTGCTCCAGTGGCGGCGCTCCCTTTGAACGTCCCGCCCCGATGACGTCACCTGCCGCGGGGCGGGGCTTCCTCCTACGCCGGGCGTTGTCGTCCTGCTGGGCGCTTGCGCCGTCCAGCGCGGCAGGGCCGTGCTGGAGTCCTGTCCTCCCGTCCGGGCCGGGGCCGCGGCGGCGTGGCTGGATGCCGCTCGTGTGGGCTCGCGCTCAGCCCCGCCCGCGGCAGAACAAGCTGCACAGGGCAGGAGCTGGCGCGGTGCCACCGCTTCTCCCCAGCACGCCGGGGACGGCGCTCGGTCCGTGCAGGGCTCGGGCGCTGCCCCATCACACCACTGCTTCCATAATCTATGGTGCTTTTGTATTTTAAAATGATCAATGTATAAACATATTATAGACAGTATATGTAAATGAGTTTTTTTTAATTTAGATGTTCCTGGGAAGTGTTTCTAAATTATTACATAATCTGGTCGTTTGCTGGGCCTTTTCAGTTGGTAATTCTGTTTTTCTAGGCTGATTCTGTACAAGGTGGTGATGATTCACCATTCTCAGACTCTGTTACCTTGGAGCAAACAACAAGTAACATTGGAGTATCAAGTGGACGTGTCAGTTTGTGGATGCAGTGGATGTTGCCAAAAATTACTGTAAAACTATTTGCACCAGATCCTGGAAGCAAAGGCACAGGTATTATACACAAAATTATCTATTTTAATTTACTATGTTAAGTTTTGTAGTTATTTTAAGATAAACCCAATTGCTATTTGGAGCAAGTATTCATTAATTGAAAACTCTGATAATTATAAAAAGATACATGTGTTTGTCCAGTGTTTTAGCATTGAGCAATATGCCATCGTGCATGGGATCAGACTTCAATATAGCCCTTTGCCTCTGAATTGGCAGTGATTTGAGCTTTGCAAAGGTTGAAGCTTAGACCGAGCACACACAGTGCAGTGTTTTTTGTTTTTTTAAGACAATTTGTTCACTTCATTTGAGTTATAGAAGTATGAACAGTGGCGGCCTGTCAATACAGGTGACCTAGGCGGTCGCTTAGGACACCAAGATAAATGGCCGTTGAGGGCTTTGAAGGTGGGGGCGCCGATCGCGTGTTTCGCCTAGGGCGCCAGTTGCCGGCAACTCGTCTAGGGCCGCTCCTGAGTATGAATAACAGTATATTTTTCTCACGTGCAATGATATGCTTTTTTTTCCCCCATGCAGACGTTTTTAAAATCAGATGCTGTTAAAATTTAATTTGCAAATGACTCATCCTTGGTAAGGATTAGTACTACAGGAAATCTGAATTAAAAGTTAGTGATTTTCAATGATACAGGATTAAAGTTTGTGCATCAGCAGTATGCATGTTTCAGTAAGTTTTTCTTGTGATGGTATGTTCCCAACTATAAATTGCTGTAAACAATTTTGCTTTTTTCTATCAACTTTTTAAAATGTTGTTGATTTTTAAATGACATAAATTTAACATAATCTTTAGAATATTTTAAAACTAAGGAATTTAATATTATTAAAATTATTTATGTTGAAAATAGAACTATGGTTTAATGGTGATATACAATTCACTTGTTTCTTTTTTGTTAGGGAGATATCACTTTTGCACTAATATGATTTTAAAATAACTTTTCTTCTTTGAGTGCTGTGCTGTCCCTATTGGGTACTCCACTTCAAGTGCTGGTGCATCCTCGTGCCCACAATTGGAGACTTTTTACAGCAGTACCTTGCCGCTCATGCTCATACCACACCTGATGGTGCTGTTGGCATCTGTTGACTACACACACAACACTGTTCCCTCAGTTCCTTTTCTACCATCTTCGACAGCAGATAGAACTCTCCACAGTTGCTCTTTCGTCAGCTAAAAACAATGATAAATTAGTTAGAACCTTGAATTTTTTTGCCAACCCAGGTTTCTCAATCAACCTTCTTCTTTCTTTCTTCCTTCAAAAACACTTAAAAATACAATTATTATTTAAAAAAAACCCTTTATTTTGGGGCCTTTCCTGCCAGTTGGGCCTTCCCTTCCTCTTCTCTTTCTTTTCTGCCCACCCTTTGACTAGCCGTCATGCCTAATTCACCAGGTTTTAAAAGATGTGACACTTGTAAAGATCCCATGCCCATTTCTTACAGGCATTTATCCTGTGTCAAATGCCTTTGAGAGGGCCATATTTCACTCAAGTAACCTCACTGTTCCAACCTAACCGTCAGAGCTAGGTGTGATAGAGAACTCCATCTAAAAATAGTTTTGCTGGAAAAATCACTCCTGACTTCAGATCTAGCTCTGACAAGGCAGGTCCTAAGGATAAGATTTATGCCACTTCAAAGAAACATTCCACTTCATCGGCAGAAAAAAGCCCTGACAAAACCAGAGCTTTTCCTATCAGATCCCTGCTTCCGGTGCTGAACTTCACCAAACTCAGCACCGCTGACAAGCTAGGCACTTCTGGCACCATCTCGGCATACATTCTGATGGCGCAGAAGCGCACATGCTCAAAGCTGAAACATAAAATCTCCATAACAGCACAGAATACTTCAGCTGGGGGCTCTACACTGAAGCTGACCAACTCCTACCCAGATTTGGGCACTGGCACTTCAAATGCTGACATTGGCCAAACCAGAACCACAGAAAACCATGCTGATGCAGTCCTTGGCATTGCTACACGTCCTCCAGCACAGTGACATACAGGTTCATTTGGTGCCACAATCACCGCTCTTTGACACCGGCCATTCTGTCCACTAGCTTTCATCCCTGGCACCATCAGTTTCATACAATGACCCAAACACAGCACCACATCACAATAGGTACTCCTCTCAACACTCTTTACCTACACAGAGGAGACCTCCCTGGCAGTTGGGCCTGGTGAAGCAGGCTCATAATGTTTTGCCTCCCCATTGGTACAAACAGCTTTGACCATACCTGCCACCTCCATATCCTGGTCAATGGCCACTATCGGACCCATGGTCCTCCTAAAGGAAGCACCATAAACACTGGCCAGAAGACCTATTAGATCCCCCCACTCCAGACCCAAGACACATGGTCGATAATGGAGGACAAAGAACTTCCTGAGGAGGAAGAGCTTTAACACACTGAGAAGGAGCAAAGGTCTCCTCTCCACAACTCTTCCTTCTCACCAGATGAGGTGGTTATTCCAACTACCCCTACATCTATTGATGACCTGACACAGTTTCATGATCTCTTTAAAAGGGTCGTTATGGCCCAGTAAATTGATTATTAGGAAGTGCAGGAAAAGCAGAACAGTCTCCTGGGGATTCTGCAGCCCTCTACCATCACAAAGTTTGCTTTATCCATGGATGAAGCCATCCTAGGGCCAGCTGATACAATCTGGCAAATATAAGCATCAGTAACCCCCACAAATAAAATAGCTGACAGGAAGTACTTTGTACTGGCCAAAGACATGGGACTTTTTATTTTCCCATCCACAACCAAACTCTCTCATTATGATGCTGTTCACCACTGAGCCAAATATCCACAGTTATAAAGATCATAAATGCCTCAATTTCTTTAGATGAAAAGTCTATTCTTCCACCACTTTACAGCTTTGTGTAGCTGATTTTTCTGTCTCACTACACAAATTACTCTAAGCTTCAGGATATCCTTAAACATCTTCCAGAGCAAAAGAGCCTACAACTCCAGGCAATAATACAGGAGGGTAAGACAATCTCATGTGCAGCCCTCCAAGACACTTTAGATGTGTTAGGCACAGCAGCTTGTAGTGCAGCTACCACCATGATCATAAGACGGGCTTCCTGGCTACCAGCCTCTAGCATTCCCATGTGAAGTACCTCCCTTTCAACAAATTTCACCTATTTGCTACCAAGACAAAGTCTTGCACACCATGAAAGACTCCCATAACAGACTGAGAACTCTTGGAATGTACACCCCACCAAATTAACAAAGGAGGTATACTCATCCTAGACCCAGAGACACGTATAGGCAACAGCAGAGACCCTTTGACTCCAGGCAAAAAGAATGGCCTCAGTGACATAGACCACAGCAACAGGCTGATACATCTCAACCATCTACATTCAATTTTGAAACTTTGGTTGGGGGTCTGAGCAACCTCTCCCAAGCACCAGAAGGTGCATCACCTAACCTTCAGTTTGCATATCATTTATGGCCCTTTTTCCATCCCTAGGCCAGTATAATTTCAGATCAATGGGTCTTCAAGAGTGTCCGGTGGGGCTACTCCATCTCTTGTATATCTGTTCCTCCTGTCCCTCTTATGGGGTCCCTCCCACAACAATCTCTTACACTTCTACAACATCTATTACAGATGGGTTCGGTGGAGCTAGTTCCAGCTTCTTACTGAGGAAGAGGTTTTTATTCCAAATACTTCCTTACACAGAAAAATACAGGAGCATGGAGACCAATACTCAATCTCAGGAGACTAAACAAATTTATACATAATTGAAGGTTCAAAATGGTAATGCTTGCCATGATTATACCACCACTAGACAGGTTCTCCACCCGTGACCTCCTGGATGCATATTTTCAAATAGCAATACATCCAATACACAGATGTTTTCTGTGTTTAATAGTACAGAGCTGACTACTGGGTGCTCTCATTCAGTTTATCTACGACTCTGAGAGTCTTCTCCAAGACATTGGTGGTAATCTCATTACAGCTCCATTGCAGAGAGTAATTATATTCCCCTATTTGGACAACTGCCTAATCAAGGGTGCTACTTACAGAGAGACAAGGGTTCCTCATTGTCATAACCAGGAGAACTGACCAGAAGCCTGGTGGCTAAGGGGCTATTTATGTCTCCCTAGCCATGTAACTGCTCAGCCAATAGTAATGCAGGCAGGGATTTCAAATTGGGAAAAAGGAATTTTTATAATTTCCCTCCTTTACCAGAGTCAGAGCAGTTTCTTCCAGGTAACAGGGAGATGGGAGGCCGTCTCTCTCCAACAAAAAGTTTTCTCACAATCTGTAAGTAGGTCAAAGTTTAGTTAGCCCATCAGGTTTTATTGTTTTCTGGTTTGGGAATCTGGAATTGAAGTCTGTGCTGTTAAAAATGTCTTTTCTTGCTTTAAAAGTGTTTTTTTCCCCCTCTCTTTTGTAATGAAGCTTTCTAAGCCAGGGAATTTTCTCTGAGTATATCAATTAGGGGCTCTTACCATCCAGCCACCTCAACTATGCTTGCAACGGTAGTTTTGTTTTCTTTTTCTTAGTAACCAGTATTGGTTCATTTTTATGTCCTGGTAGGTTTGTCTGTCTGTCTCTGACTAGGAGTCAGCTACCACAGGCTGCAGTTTGTTTTCTCTTTTCTTTTTCAAGCTCTTTGGGGAAAAAGAACTTGGGGTTCCCCATGGGTTGGTTTCAAGTGTCCACCCGTGTTTGTGGGTTCAAAAGCACTTGATGGTGGCAGTGGACTTTCCCCAAAATCCGGGTATTAGGATTTTGGGGGGAAGTTTTTGTACCAAAATCTGTAGAGAGAAGGTTTTGAAGTGTTCTTGCAGGCCCCCACTACTGCTTTTGTCGTGCCAGAGTGGGGAACAGCCTTGACACTCATCAACTTCCACAAGTCAATTTTGGAATCAACTCAGACCCATAAGTTTATAGGGGCGAACTAGAGTCTACATAGGTCAAGACAATGTTGTCCCTACACAGATTTGGCACACTCATTGTTCTTATTGGCAAAGTTTGACTCAGCACTGAAGTTTGCCAGGCTATGTGTGTGCTCTCTTCAGGCCTGGCTCACCACATCATGTTTCCTCCCACAACGTATGGAACAAAAATATATCAGTACCAGAGCACGATCTTTCTTCTCTACATTGGTGGATACAACTTCAAAATATCCTCCAACACATTTCATGCTATCAGGCTGTACCAACTTCCATCAGAACCCTGGATGCCTCATTGCTTGGTTGGGGAGCCCATCTAGAAAGCGATATGATTCAAGGGAAATGGACTTCTTAAGAAGCCATGCTACACATTCACATATTAAAACTCAGAGTGGTGCACTTCCTCCCATGTATATGGAACAGAATGATTTAGGTCTTCACAGACAACACCACTATGCATTACATCAATGCCAGTATGCATTATATCAATCGACAAGGTAGAGCATGAGTAAACTCCCTCTTTGCAGAGGCAGTCAAATTATGGAATTGGTGCTTATGCTATTAGGTTACATGTATGGCGATGTACCTACTTGGTTCCTTCAATACCATGGCAGACACACTCAGCCATCTTTTTTTTCCAATCAGCATGATTGGGAAATAGACACTATGATTCTTCACAAGATCTTTTGCTGTTGGGGACATCCTCATAAGAATCTTTTTATGACATGTTTAAATCACAAATGTCACCACTTCTGCTATAGAGCAAGCCTAGAAGCAACGACACCTTCCTTCTTCAATGAAAAGCACCTCTCCTATACACTTTTCCTCCCAATACCTCTCATTCTGCAAGTCATCCAAAGGTACATTAAGACTAAGCATATATCTTACTTATAGTACCATCATGGATCAGACAGACTTGGTTCCCCTACCTCAAGTGCTTAGCTTTCTGCAATCCCCAAAGCACTGCCACATTGCCCTGATTTCCTGTCTCAGCATCATGGTTGCACACTGCACCCGGATCCAACAATGCTTCACCTCAAAACTCCATGGCTCCATGATGCTGAAAACATCTGCTTAGACAGAGTGAACAGATATTAATAAATAGCCATTGTCCTACTGCCAGGTACACTTACCTGCACAAAGGGAAGTAATTCTCAGTCTGCTGTCAACTGAGACAACAGAAACCACCCACCCTCCTCAGTACCCCTCTCCATTGTACTTGACTATCCCTTGGACTTGAAGGAATCCGACTTGTCCCTGAGCTCATTAAAGATCCACCTGGCCACCATTATAGCATTCCATGACTCGCTTTTCTTTCACCCCATCACAGAACATTTCCTCACAGGCATTCAGAACACATACTCCATGGTAAGAGCTCTTACTCCCCCTGGGACCTTAACCAAGTTCTCAGGAGCCTCACAAGACACACATTTGAGCCATTACCCATGTGTTCTTTCATCCATGTGTCCATGAAAGTGGCATTCCTCATGGCAATCATGTTGGGCAGACGTATTAAGGAAATAGCAACCCTCATGGCTGCCCCCCCTACACTATATTCACCAAGGGCAAAGTCACTTTATGACCCCATCCCAAGTTTCTCACCTAGGTAGTGTCCACCTTCAACATCAATGAGTTCATTCATTTATCCACCTATTTTCCCAAACCACGTGACAACGCTGTACAGGCATCTCTACACATGCTCAGTGTCTGAGGTTCTGCGTGCTATTGCATTCTATCAGGACAGGACTAAATTCTGGAGAAAAATTCCCTATACTTTTTGTCCATAGCACTCTACTATAGGATAGGGCATTCGCCTGGGGAGCTCAGGCTGGTGCTGTCAAGTCCTGCCTGCCCACCCTGGGAGCAACCAGACAGCCAACACAGACTGCTCCAGGTATAGAACTGGCTCACACATTTAGAAAACAGGATAAGGGACCCTCTGAATGTAGTGAGGTAGGGTGGGTTCTGGAGTGGGCTAGGGCATTTGTCTGGGGAGGGCAGTGTGGTGTATTCAAGTCTCACTTTTAAACATTAACATTGTTTTTATGTTTTAAATTAAGAGTCAGTGTCTTGGTCTAATTTTGCTCATTTTATTACATAATCTGAGGAGTCTATTTAGCAGTAAGTGAGGAGGAGTTGTTATATTTATTAATCACATTAGTCTCTCTTCTAATGGATCTTAGCTCATGACAGCTATCTTGCAGATGTTGGTTGTAAAGTGACAAGTATGTCTTTTGCACTATATAAATAATTCCACAAAAAAACAATGTTTAAAGAACATTGAAGTTGGTTACAAAGTCAAGCACTCAACCATTAGGAAATCCCAGAATTGAAGCTACCTGTGCAGCCTTTAATTCACCCCCTTTGCACGTATCTTAGGATAATCTTTAATTGCATGATCACATACTATTTTTGCTGTTATATCAAGTGTACACCTAATATGGCAAATATTAACTTGATATAAGTAACATGTTAAGGGGACCAGTATTATCACAACTAGGAAAGACATGTTGTACCAAGAGAACTCTTAGGATTTGAGAGTTTACTTATTATTTAAGCAAAATGTGGAGGACTTGACAAAAATGTTTTCCATCTTCTTGTCAGTGGAACTGGCTATTCAGATGGCAAAACATCTGTGACAGCTAAACTCTGGTCTGCCTATAATTATCTAATCTATCCATGTTTCTGTACAACATTCATCACTGTAGTATTGGATGAACTGGTATTTTTCCATTCTCAGTTATTTTTACATTTTAGTCTTCTTTTATATGCTTTGCAGCAGAGTTGAGCCTAAAGAAAAACAGTTTCAGCATTTTTAAGAAACAATTGGATTCTGAAGCTGGATCTGAATTTTGTGACTGGTTCCTGTCTATGTCATGATTGAACAAAAATTCCCTGTATAAAATGTCTTGAACTTTGAAGGATGAGAAATAGAGATCCAAACAAAAATTGTTGTATCACAGGCACATTTCTGGTTTATGGTCAGTGTTTTATTAATAGCACAAAATTAGAGATCGTAAATTCATAGATATTAATTTTAATTATCACTGATTATTACAGAGATTTGTGTTGTCAGTGAATTAGAAGATCTCAGCGCCTCAGTAGATATGCAAGATGTATACACCAAAGTTAAATGTAAAATAGAAAGCTTCAACATTGACCACTACAGAAACAGGTAATTACTGGAAGTTGTCATACATTAATTTCATTCTGAAATAGCAAAGCAGGATTTTTTTTTCCTGGAAAGAATTTTTATTTGGCTTTTAATTAAAAATTGTTGTGTAATATGTTAAAATAAATGATAACTGTAATGTTTAAACAATAAGTAGTAACAATCAGGATTTCTGAGAACTAGATTTGTACTGTAAATTTACACGCCCTTTTGTAAATGTCTAGTTCCTTTATGTGTCATATTTGAAAAGTTGTTTGTTTTTAAATCATAAGAAGGAAATTTCTAATGATTTTTTTGTTGTCGTGGAGTAACTGCAGTGAAGTAAGTTCATTACCATTGTAACAGATGCTAGTCTGATACAGAATAACATTGAAAAGCTCTGAGGGAGCCATGTATAGTCTTCATCAGCAGCATGGTGAGTTGTCATGAAGAAGAATCCATGGAGGTATGTGGTCAATGGCACAGAAGAGAAAATGGTATAATTCTTTAGTGTCTTTCCTTGGAAAAAATCAACACATAAACTTAAAAATATTTGAATGGATTATGATTAAGGTGATACCTTTCAAAGGTGCCTAAGGGATTTAATAGCACAAATCCTACTGATTTGCAGAGATGCACCTACTCCTAAATCCCTTAGGCATTTTTGAAAGTCTTCCATGAGAACAACAGAAAGGAAATTCAGTGTAAACCTCTCATGTCTTTTACTTATTTATCGACTCACTTCAGACCTAGTATAATGAATAGATACTTCTTCGAGGCTGTCCCTGTGGGGCTTTACCTTAGGTGTTTGGGCACCTCAGCATGCCCGGGACAGAAGATTTCTATAACAGTGTTTGTGTATAGCCTGTTCACATATGCGTAGCAATATTAACATACCAGGCAGCCAATGAGCATGCGCAAACCCCAATCCCCTCAGTTCCTTCTCTGCCACCTCCAGTGCCGGTTGGAACCCGCTGTGCACTCTGCATTGAGCTCCTCAATTAGCTATATAGCCTTTTTACTTTACCTTTTAGTCAGACTTAGCCTTTTAAAACCTTTCTCCTTCACTCTGCATGAAAAAAAATGTTTTTTTCTTCACGTCAAACCACGAATAAGCAGAGGTTCATTGCCTGCTGCTTTCCGCTTCCAGGGATCGCCCCACACGGGCTCTCCCCTCCGTGCTATTACTGATTTTACTGGTTTTTACTATTTTTACAGTTTTATTCATTTTACTCTTTTAATCTTTAACCGCCTGAGAATATTCTCCCCAGAGTCCTCCTCAGACCCTCACCCACCCACCTCAGGCACACACAGCAGCGGCCAGTGCAGAAAACACCACCTATTTGCCGCATGTATATTTCCCGCCTGGGTGGGCATTGGCTTATCTCCGCTGCCTGAGGGAGAAACACACAGTACTTCAGGCGAGGGGTTTATAGAGCCCTGACTGCCATAGTGAATACAGCAGGACAGCTATTTCACTTCAATAGCAATCTGACCAGACTTAATCTCTGACTTTTTCCTGCATCCCCGTTTATACTCTCCCAGCAGCGATATCAGACAAAGCGGGGGCACTTGCCTCAGCTGTGAGCTCTGCAACCTCTAAACAATCTAAGAAGATGAATGCAGATACTAACCCTTCACCCAAGAAAGGGCGATCCCACAATTCCAAGCCAGTTCTGTCCCCTCTGGGGGCTCCGGACAAGAGCTTGCCGGGGCTGCGATCACCCACTGTGCTCCGAAGGTCCCAGGACCTGTCTTCAATGGCGAAACAGGCTAGCAAACCTAAACCCTTGCAGCACAAAAACTCAAAACAGCCACAGCATCGCCTGTGCAGACCTCACACTCTGCCACTGATAAAAATAGCAGATCTACTAAATCCCCACACTTGGCTCTGTCAGTGTGTGAGCCTACCCCGAGGCCTGGCAATGTGAAAGGCTCACAGCTGCAGTACCATCTGCCACCTATGCCTCAAACCTATTCTTTGACATCCTATGGACCAGCTTAAAGGTTACCTTAGTACTCACTACTCTGCTTTTTGGTACTGACCCCTCTCTGACACTTTCCAGGGTCTCTCCAGCAAAAGCTACAGCTCCTGCACCGCCTTCATATAGTGAGGAAGAAGCTGTCTCTCTTTCAAATGCTGTTTCACTCAGGCACTCATCGCCTAGGACACCTCAGCCACAACCAATGATGCCCCAGTGCCTCCCGCTTGGCCCTACTAGAACCCCTGGGCACCTCCTAGAATGCACCAGCAGCAGCAACAATACCAGCATGCTGGTCAGGCTCACTCAAGACACACTTCAGTGACCGCCCTAGATGTGTCCAGGGATCAAACTGATTCTGATCATCCCTTTAGTGATGATGACTCAAGTGATTCCTCACACCCGCCAGTCCAGTTCTCCTCCTCTCCTCTGGAGGATACCCTCATGCCACCACCTTCCTTAGCAGGCGATGATTCCAGGGCTGCTTCTTCAAGCTGTTTTCCAGTGGTTGCTCCACTGTAGGTGTCAGGTTTGTCCCAGCACCACAGATTGGAGATCCTTCCCAGCCATAGTCCACCTGACCATGCATGCGTGAAGCGCGGCTTATGCCTTTCCGCACCATTTGTGTGTGCGCGGTCCGGCACCCACCAGTTCCTCTTGACTGTCCTTGACTGCAGACGGAAATAGCACTCTCTCTCTGACACCCTATCAGAATCGAGAGAGAGTATACTTGTTAATTCAGTAGTTTAGTTGTTAGTTAGTGGTTATTTAGTCAGTAGATAGTTGTAGTTATTTTAAAAAAATCTTCTTCTTAGTGTAGTTCTGTAAATAGTTAATCAAAATGACAGAATTACCCGGCTTAAAAAAATGCAGTACTTGCTGCGAGGCAGTACCCACCTCCGAGGGCTGTTCTCTCTGTATTAGATGCCTTGGGGAAGGCCACATCCCACAGAAATGTCCCCATTGCTCGAAGCTCACGGCCCAAGCAAGGAGAGACAGAGACATGCACTTAAAAATGCTCCTTTTTGACAGAGCATTACAGCCGCAAAGTACTTACCCCCAGCTACCTCAACCCTTGGGGCTTGTAGACAGACCCAAGAAGACGAAGAAGAGACCATCTCCTTCTTGGTCCCATCTTCCCTCCCGGGTGAGCATCAGGGACAAGCCAAGCATCTCAGGCACGTCCACTGCATGCGGTCCTGAGAAGCCAAAGCAAAGCCAAAGCAAGTCGGCTCTGAGCCCATTGGTATTGGGATCCGCTATCTCGGCCGTTCCGTTAGTTTCCCGTTCAGCACCAACAGCCTCGAGAACATCGCCTACCCTCAGACGCCCCCCAGAAACGAGCCGCTCGCCAGCACTGAGACGTTTCCTGGAGCTGAGTCGTTCTCTAATACAAAGGCACTCGCCAGCACTGACTCGTCTCCCGGCACCGAGGCTCTCGCTGGCACTGAGATGATTGCCGGCACCCAGAACCTTGCCGTTCCTCAGTCATTGAGGAGCGCTCATTGCCTCTCCCATCTTCAAGACCACCGACCCCGTCTGGGGTCCCACCTCATCTTGGGGATGTACAACAATCTCCTACACAGCGTATGGAAGGTCAATCCCCTAAGGACCAGTCCTCTTCATCCCCAGACGAGGCAGTCTTCCAGGGTGACACCTCCCCTTCCGACGATTTGCACCAATTTCAGCAGCTTTTCAAAAGAGTCGCAGAAAGTCAGCGGGTGCAACTTGGAGAAGTACAACAAAAACATCACCATCTCTTATGCAACATTAAAGAGTCGCACCAGGACAGAATTGCACTATAACTGGATGACAGTATCCTCAAAATAGCAGACGACATCTGGCAGCTACCAGCATCCGTTCTGCCCACCAACAAAAAAGCGGACAAAAAGTACTTTGTCCCCTCAAAAGGGATGGGGTTTCTTTTTACTCATCTGCAACCTAACTCATTGGTTGTGGATGCAGTACAGCAGAAGGAAAGAGCGCCTCTTCACAAAACCACCGCTGCTGCTAAGGATAGCAAGCATCTGGACTTGTTCGGCTGAACAGTATATTCTTCGGCAACACTGACACTGCTGATGGCTAATTATTCCGCATTACTGGCTAACCATAATTTTGATAATTATGCCAATTCGTGCTGCTTCTAGAACACCTTCCCGAAGCCAAACGGGACATCCTAAGGGCAATAGTCCAGGAGGGATACACAGCCTCCAGGACGGCTCTACATATAGCCCTAGACACTGCCGACACTGCGGCGCGTACAACAGCTACCTCAGTTGTCATGTGCAGGGCATCCTGGTTACAGCAGTCATCTGCCCATAAAGACTTTTTGTCGAAGGTCAAGGACCTCCCCTTCGACAGGCAAAATCTATTTTCAGAAAAGACTGTTCAACTGTTCCATTCGGGGAAATACTCCAGGATGACCCTTAAGACACTGGGAATGTACACACTGCCTTGTCGCCGGAAAAGATACACTCCATACCAGAGACAGAGACCCTTCTCTCATCAGCCACCAGCATATAGACCTCATGAGCAACAACGAGGCAGACAATGCCAGCAGAGGAGGTGACCCCCACCGAAAGCGTCCACCCACCAGAACACCAGGCAGCAGGTTTGACGCTTCCGTTGAGGGACTGAGAACAATTCCCATCAGCAATCCCATCTGTGCTTCAAATACAGTCTTCCATCACTGTTTGAGACTTTTCCTTCAATGCTGGGCCCATATTCCAATCGACAAATGGGTCCTCCAGACCATCCAGCTAGGCTACACCATTCCGTTCACATTGCTGCTCCTCCATCCCCCCCTCCATCCCATCCCTCTTCAGGGACCCATCTCATGAGTCCCTGCTCAAGCAAGAGGCTATTCGTCTACTCACCATTGGGGCGATAGAGACGGTCCTGATACTTTCTATTATTCCCGATACTTTCTAACAGAAAAGAAGTCGGGGGGTTGGAGGCCAATATTAGACCTCCAGGGTCTCAATCACTACCTCCGGAAACAGCGATTCCGCATGGTCACCCTAGCTACAATCATTCCAGCAC